AATGTTAACACTAAATAAATCTAGGTGACATGTGTAAGAAAGTCTATTGTAACTTTCTCATAACTCCTGTGTCCTTGAATTATTTTTTCCCAAATAAAAAGTTTAATTAAAGAAAAAACGGATGATCCTGCCCAGGACACCGATGTAGCGCCAGACATCTTCGTAGAACGGAAACTTGAAAAGAAATGTGTTGTGCAAAATTGTCTTTGAAGAATATGGATGTGGTTGGAAAAAATGCTTGGACTGATGCAGAGAGGTGAGGTTCCCACAGGCCGGCTGAAGGATCAACGGACACTTCCTGTCAGCGTTTGGCCTGTTAGGGGAGGCCCTCTTCTCTTTCCCTGTCAACTTCTTCATCTCTCTTCTAAATAAAAACTGAATACATATTTTCTAAATGTTGAAAGAAGAACCAAATTACTAGCTTTTCTTTTTATTTTTTATTTTATTTTATTTTTTTTTTCAACGTTTATTTATTTTTGGGACAGAGAGAGACAGAGCATGAACGGGGGAGGGGCAGAGAGAGAGGGAGACACAGAATCGGAAACAGGCTCCAGGCTCTGAGCCATCAGCCCAGAGCCCGACGCGGGGCTCGAACTCACGGACCGCGAGATCGTGACCTGGCTGAAGTCGGACGCTTAACCGACTGCGCCACCCAGGCGCCCCTAGCTTTTCTTTTTAATCTGGTACTGCCCGTTGTACAACCTTGAACAAGTCATTTCATTCATTCCACAAACATTTATTTGGTACCTACTCTGTGCCAGGCACTATTTTAGATGCTGGGGATGTAGCAAGAAATAACACGGATAAGGCATGTGCCCTCGTGGAGGGAATAGGCTAGTGCTATGTGGCGGACACTGGGGGTTCCCAGTCTTACAGTTATTTCCTCTTCTTCCTTGCTAATGAAAACTCCAATTCTGTCCAAAAAGCAGTGTGTGAGGGAGAAAAAGCAACGAACATTACTACAGATTGGGAGAAAATATTTTCAAACCGCATGTCTGACAAAAGACCACATTTTGACTTTACATTTAGAATGTATAAAGAACTCTCAAAAGTCAATAGAAAAAAAAAAGAAAAGAAAAAATCACTCTAATTACAAAGTGGGCAAAAGACATGAACAGACATTTCACCAAAGAGGATACAGAGATGTCAAATAAGCACATGAAAAGGTATTCAGTTTCACTAGACCTTAGGGCAATACCGATTAAAGGCACGTGAGCTATCACTTCACACCTATCAGAATGGCTAAAATAAAAAATAGCGACATCACCAAACACTGGCAAGAATGTAGAACTGGATCACTCATATGTTGCTGGTAGGAATGTAAAATGGTACAGTCACTTCAGGAAAGTTTGGCAGTTTCTTTAAACACAAAATATGCAATTACAACTCCACAGTTGTATTCTTAGGCATTTATTACAGAGAAATAGAAATGTACGTTTATACAAAAACTTGCACGTAGGTGCTCACGGCAGCTTTATTCATAATGGCCCCAAATGGGAGACAGCCCAAATGTTTCTCAACGAGGGATGGATAAATTGTGGAACAGTCGTACGAGGGAATACTACTCAGCGATAAAAAGGAACAAGTTAATGATACAACAACCTGGATGGACCTCTAGGGAATGATGCTGAGTGGAAGAAAAAAAAAAAAGCCTAGGGTGCCTGGGTGGCTCAGTTGGTTGAGCATCCAACTCTTGATTTCCGCTCAGGTCATGATCTCACAGTTCGTGAGTTCAAGCCCTTCGTCGGGCTCTGCACCGACAGCATGGAGGCTGCTTGGGATTCTCTGTTTCCTTCTTTGTCTCTGCCCCTCCCCCGTTTGCATTGTCTCTCTCTCAAAATAAACTTAAAAAAAAAAAAGTCAACCCCAAAAGGTTATATACAGTACGGTTCCATTAGTATAACATTCTTGAAATGTCAAAATTATAGAAATGGAGAACAGATTCGTGGTTGAGCAGGGGCTCAGGAATGACGGAGTGCAGCCTAGATGGAAAATGGGTGTGATTCTAAAAGGGCAACAAGAGAGATCCTTGGAAGCATTCTGTATCTTCAGTATGGCCACGGTCATACAAGTCTACACGGGTGATAAAATCACGTACACCTGGCAAAGGAGTAGCTGATGTAAGACTGCTGGGATCTGAATGAGGTCAAAGGAATGTATCAATGTCAATTTCCTATTTTGATTTTGTACTGTTACATTGGGGAAGACTGGGTGAAGACTATGCGGGTCTCTATTACTTCTTACAACTGCATTTAAATCTACAATTATCACAAAGGTTTTAAAATGGGTGAATTGAATCTCAATTTTTTTTTATTTTATTTTTTTAAGAAAGGCAGTGTGTCCAGCCACAAACACATGGTGATTGATCTAAGTTAGTTCTTCTCAGCAAGACATTCAGAAAATGGGAGTGTGTTCCTGGTTGTTACCATGGTGGAGGCACACTTTTGGCAATTAATGAATGTTAGATTACCTGCGCTCCACAGGACAGAATTGCACAAGAATCAGACAACCTCCCCCACTGAACACACTCCCAGATGTTCAGGATGGGTCACACACACACACACACACACACACACACACACACACAAATAATAACATATTTGCTACAATTATCTGAGCCTAAAAGTTAACCCCATTTACAAATAAAAGTAATTTGGGTATAGTTTTAATGTACACTGAATTATTGCACTGACAGAGAAGTGATTCTGCCTAAATCAGCTCCCTGAAAAAGGGTATGAACAATAGGTATGAGATACCAACCAGATCATGAAGGACTAAGTTAAACATGTAGACTTGTTCCTCCATTTGAACGGAGTCCAAGTCCTGAGGCACTTGGGCGGCTGGATAATGTTGGGTAAGTTACTTAACTCTGAGTTTATCATCATGAAAAGGGAGATTACAATAGCACTCATGTCCTGGGTTCTTTTTGAGAAGATTGTCACAGTCATCCAGAGAGGAAACGTTCAAATCTAGCCCCCAGTGGTAGCAGGGGAGTATGGTTGCAGAGGTGAATAAACTCATGGCCAGGTCTTGGGTCATGGATCAAAGGTACATAGGTCAAGGATGACAGGCGGGTTTCTGGCTTGGGCAACTGGGTGGATGGTGGTATGTTTAGTGAGACAGGCAGTACAAAAAACAATAGTGGGTTTTAGGGGGGAAATGAGGAGTTTAGTTTTGGAGATTTTGTCTGGGGTGTCTGTGGACGAGTCCAGTAGGTACTAGTATACACACCTCTGGGCTTAGGAGTTGTGTTTGGGTTATAGGTGGACTGGGAAGCATCAGCATGGAAGGGAAACGGTGAGGTGGGTCAGGGAGCTCAGAGAAGGGGCGCAAGAGCAGGGCCCTGGGGTCTGTTTATTCCCTGACGTTCAGTAGCTGGGCAGAGAAAGGGCACCCCTCAGGACAGGAAGGCTGGAGAACCGAGGTCAGCACGTGCAGCCACGCGACCTGGACCCGGCAGTTCCGGGGGTGGGGGGCGTAG